TTACGAAAAACTCCCTGAACTTAGGTAAATTATGAAAAATACCCCTACCCATCCATAATTACCAGATTATCTATGATGTTTCTCTTCGTCTTACATCGATCCCCTTATGAAGTGATTTTTCACGGAATCTTTTCAAGTCAAGGAATTATTCCCGAAAAAATACCGATTTTACCCTTGCAGACATGACATTTCTTTATGCTACTCTTTGAAAACAAAAATTACGCTTAGAGGGGAATCGATAACAATAAAAAGTTGTAGAGATATTATTTAAGAAGAATAAAAATTTCGTGTAAAATGATCCTAAGATAGATAGGGACATTTTTCATAATTTAACCTAAGTTTAGGGAATTTTCGTAATTATCCTAGAATGTTTTTGCTGACCGGAGTGTTAATTTTGAAGAACTACTTTTAGATACAAAAAGGCAAACACGAATTATTACACAAAAAGGCTATTCAAACATAGGAACCTACAAAAAGATAAATACAAGTTAAGCATACTAATTGGATGGTAAGGCTAGCTGTAATTAATCAGATGATTGTAATTTAAAGTATATTCCAATTGTTCAATAGTCTTTGGGTCCATCTACAATTTTGAGATAAAAGAGAACTCTTTATCTTAATTTATTACGAAATTATATATTCATCGGAGATATTTAGTTCTTACAAGAGTTGTGGTTAAATTTATGTTGGTTGGTTCAATTTTAACAACTAATTAAACGAGGCCTCTTCGTTTGCGATTCAAATTAAGTTCGATGGAAAATATAATAAGGCTTCATTTGATAGGCCAATTAACTTTAATAAGACTTCATTTATGATTGGATCCTATGATTTATTGTTGGTCGCAACATAATTAACTGTATAATTGTATGTAAAATAACAAATATAACCTTTTATGTAGTAAATATGACAATTATGCATTGTATTATTATAGATAATATAATCGTAATTAATTCAATAAAACGTTATTAATTCTATCAATATTGAGGGTGCAACGAAAGAAGCTAAAGTTGTTTGACCACACTTCCACTATTGTAAAATGTCCCGAGTTGAATATATAAAAGAACCAAGAATTAAATGCAAGTGTGAATAGAATTAATAATATTGTCAAATGCTATCTATGTTCATAGTTTGTTCACATTTTCATACGAGTAATTAATTAATTAATAATTAGCATCAATAAATATTTAAATGTTCATTAATATGGATCGGAGTTTACATAGTATTAATATTGGATTAAAAAACCGTCGAATTCTTGCTTGGTTTTGTTGTACCTAATCTTTGAGGTCAGAATAATTGACATACAAATTGTCATAGCTTTGACATTGGCCTGTAATTGTAAATAAGAAGATAAGGTTTAATTTCTATAAAAACAATAATAATAAATTAATAAATAAATAAATAAAAGATGATTAATGTCATGGTAATCATTGTTTATTGGATTTATTCTGCTCCAAAATATTCAGCGGATCATACTAATCAATATTATATATAAAACATGAACGACCAACCCATATTGATCCACGGTCGTAAAAAAATAAATATTTTTTAGTTTAATTGTGCAGCCATTTTCTTTGTATGTTCATCCCATGACTTAAATCTATAATTTCATACTATTATTTTCGTTCCGACATAAATAAAAAAATAAAATAAAATTAATTTCATGGTAGTTGGTCCGAGTCAAAGGATCAACTCGTTAACAAAATTCACCAATTTAAAAGTCTGTTTAAATAAGCTTATCCGTGATTGGTTGAACTAGTCTAACATATTTAGCTTCTTTTTTTGTTTGACTAATTTGAGAAAATATATTTCCATTATTTAGCATTCTTTGGTCAGATAAACATGATTAATATGGTTTACGTCTCTCTCGTATGATTTGTAAACTATTATACGAGAGTGTATATTTACCCAGACAGAGCTGTAATATTCCTCACTCGTTTATATTTTTCAAGATTTAAATACAAAGAATCATGACTATGTCATAAAAGAAGAAATAAAAAGAATCATCTACCAAGAATTACACTGATTGTGACATTGTTTGAGGAAACAACATCTTGATTATTCTCATTCCACATATCCCCATCTAAATTATGTCTCATTGATGTAAAAGTCGGCTGTCTAGGCATCGGCAAGCCCGAGTTCTCGCTCTCCAGCATCAGTATGACAGCTGGCATGTTCGGCCGGTGACCTGCCACGTCTTGCACACACAGCATGCCTACGTGTATGCATCTCAGTACTTGTTCCCGTGAATAAGAATTCGAGATTAATGGATCGACCAACTCGATTGCTCTGCCACTATCCCAAAGATTCCACGCCTGCAATTAAAGCATTTCGAAAAAATATTAAGTTCTTGATTTTGAAGGTTCGCTTTTTATGGGCCATGGGAGAAATTACGGGTTTTTTTCTTTTCTTTTTTGTAGACTTACATATCCAATGATGTTTGAGTAATCTGTCGAGCGAAAGCTAGTGTTTCTTCGGCCCGTTATAATCTCCAGGAGCAGTACACCAAAGCTGTACACATCTGACTTTAGGGAAAACAGTCCTTCCATAGCATACTCGGGCGCCATATAACCGCTGTTAGTTGATTAGCACAATAAAATTTAGTGACGCAATGAAAAAAAAATGTTTATTTTTTTTATTATTAGAATGAGTTATAATATTTTTTACTTACTACGTGCCTACGACCCTGTTTGTGTTTGCTTCGTTTTGGTTCCCTCCGAATATTCTAGCCATGCCAAAATCTGAAATCTTAGGGTTCATTTCTTCATCCAATAGAATGTTGCTAGCTTTTAGATCCCTGTGGATTATTCTTAGCCTTGAGTCTCGATGCAGATACAGAAGCCCTCTTGCAATTCCTTCGATTATGTTGAACCGCTTACTCCAGTCTAGTTGGGCTTTTTTATCAGGATCTATAACAAACGGTGTTCAAATGTAAGAACGAAATGCAACGGAAAATTAAGACATAGAAACAAATATGTAAATGACTAACCAAAAAGATACGAATCGAGGCTTTTATTGGGCATATATTCGTAAATAAGCATTTTTTCTTCTCCCTGAATGCAGCAGCCCAACAGTCGAACAAGATTCCTGTGTTGTAGTTTAGCAATTAGCATAATTTCATTCTTGAACTCTTCGACACCCTGACCAGATTTTCTTGACAGCCTCTTTATAGCTATTTCTTGGCCACATGGCAGTGTGCCCTGTCGATTGTTTAAATTAAAAAAATAAAACAAAATTAGCGTATGAAGAAATTATTACATGGCTATGAAAATACAGTTTCCTCGTCTGTAAAACTTTCTTACCTTGTAAACAGGGCCAAATCCACCCTGTCCAAGTTTATTCTCGTCGGAGAAGTTATTTGTAGCTGCAACCACAGAGTTGAAGGTGTAAATCGGTAGTTCAGTTCCATTTGGCTGCTCGCTTTCCACACCAAAGTCACATGGTCCAGAAATATCTGTCGAACATTCTCCACTTGGATCCACTTTCGGAATTTCGTTTCTCTTTAAAATATCTGCATGAGAAAAATATTGGAATGTTTGATTGTAGAATTGTACCAAAGTTATGTAAATGTAGATAGTTAATTACTGACAAATGCTTTCAGTAAAATTATTTATTACCTTTGCATTTCGACTTGCGCTTGAACAGAAACCAAACCGAGACACAGACAAGGAATATTCCAGCGACAACAGCTGTTATGACTATAACTTTGATTACACGAGCACAGTTACCTATTAGAGTAGTCACAATTGAAAATTAGAAACAATACCATGTTGTAATTTAGATCTTACTATGGAACATTTTTTATTTCCCATAAGCCAAACGTAACTAAACTAACGTGCTTATGCTAATACTCGTTAAATGTAATCAATAACTTTGAGCCAACTAAACAAATCTAGAGAGCTTACTATATTTTTGTATATTACGTAAGCTGATGCAGAAAATGACAATATTATACTAATACGTGTTGTCGATTGACAAGGGTGCTAATTAGTTATTTTAACGACTTAAGCAAATTAAATATACTCCTGGTGATGTTTATTTATTTACTAAAGGCACGAAAATGAGCTTCAATGTTTATAAAAATATATTGCAGGCTAGTTGCCGAAAACGAAAGAGTTAGGCCAGAGGTAGGCCAACTGCCAATGGTGTGCTGACCAAAAAAAAAAGTCGGGAAAACTAACAAACATACACAGAATAATAAAAAATAAAACATAAAAAATAAAAACAATGTGTCATCAAACAACAACACATTAGAAAAACATTTGTACTACCTGCTCCTCATACTTATCCTAATGACAGTAATTTAACGATATGCAGCAAAGTAATAATCCACCATTTATTTTCGTATTAAAAAATGAGAAAAAAAAACGAAAAAAAACGAAGCATCAATCTTACCGAATTCGGAACGAGCAAGGCGAATGAACAAAGTGCGCCCATCTTGCCCAAATTGTTGAACATCAACCAATTCCCGGTTCCATATCATACAGTTTATTCCACTAACAAAAGCATACGCAGTGCACGAACAATTCTTCAAGCACATCTCTCGACAATCTTCAGCGTCTATATTCCCCACATAATCAACAAAATCTGGCAATTTTACATTATCAACCTTCACAAAACCATCATTTGCCTCCACACTATTATTTTTCTCCCGACACTGTAATTCCGTTTTCCGAACACAACCACCCGACCAATTCCCTCTACTCCACGCATCGTTATCCTTCGGCACGAACCCTTTCACGCAACTGCATTTCGGCACATCTATCTCGTTGCATCTACCAAAAGCCCCACAGTGGTTATAACTATCGCATTCCTCAACAGGATGCGATTGTAGAACACTCCACTCTCGACGACTATCGATCCACCTTTCCTGCTTCTCAACTCCGTCCCAGTTTATCTGGAACTTAACCAAATCGGAGCTATTCAAAAGCGTATATATAAAATACAAGCCACCGTCGCCCTCGTTTAATAGCTTAAAACCTTGTAGATAAACAGCTCTCATTCCTTGAACACCTATGAATACGAATCCATTCCAATGCCCAGTTCTCCACCTTCGATTCCGCCCTTCCCATATCACTATCTGAGGCGATCCACGTGGATCGACGCCCATCGTATAATTTCCCGGTGAAGGGTCGGTAGCAGTTTTCCAGGAAGTGAAAACACGTTTCTCTCCTTGTTCGATGTTCATGTGAACTTCCATGTTTGGGAGAAACGTGTCCGTTGGATGATCGAAGCTCTGCCATAGAAGCCTGTTCGAATTTGAATTCAAATTCGAATTCGAATTCAAATTGTCACTCCCACCACGCAGAACGAGATTGCCTGTCTCCGTGAGAATAGCGGTGGAATTATTATTACCTGACGGAACTGTGACGTTGCTGGACCAGATTATTCGGCCGTCGCCGTTTGTAACTATTAAATTACCGTCGTTACCAATCGTTAGAACCCCGCCGTTATCTGAGATTGGGGTTTCTCTATTCGCCACCCACACGACTAATTGATCGGGAACTCTGTAGTACCAAATTCCGACGTACCGGAAATCCGAATCTCTAGGGCTGAAGAAGCCCAACGCGAATTTATCCCCGGCGGAGATGATAGTTTCCCCATCTTTGATCGAGTCACCAACTTGAATTCTATCGGCAGCCGAAATGAAGACTGAAAAGTAATTGCCGGCAATCAAAAAACACCAAAGGAATAAATATCTGTGATACCTAAATTCAGAACCCATTTCTGGAAAATTTGAGTTTTTTTTACAGAAATTCAACAGTGGAGGGCGCGGAGAATTAGTGGATTTGCTGGGGTTTTAATGTAGAGATGAGAAGATTGAAATTGGCGACTGAGAATCCTCTTTTATTGAAGATTCTTCTTTGACCAGAAGAAAAGCCCTACGGATTATAACAGAGTAAATACAATACACTGTTTGTTTCTGCTAAAACGACAACACACAGAAAAAAAAATTTGATAAAGGTTTGGAATTTTTAGGTTGATGAGGAGAATTGAAAACCACAAGTTTGAAAACGTGTTCAAAAGAACAGAAAATACTATAAAGTAATCAATCACCACAGTGAAAAAAATAGCAGGGGGAGAAAAGAAAGCATGTGGTGGTTTCCGATTACACCTGATTGGGGGGCGGCGCGCTGACAGTGACGTCACCGACCGAAAGAGAAACGTTGGCTTGGTGATTGGTTCAGATGATTTTGTAGTGTAATTGTGAATCGGATATAAACTCCATAAAATAAAGTTTGGTCAATCTGCAATCTAGATTTTTTATTTAATACTGCACCTACTTTGTAGTTAATTTTCTTCACATGTTAAATTAATTTCATTTATGTTTTGTTTGCGAAAGCTTATTCAAAAACAGAAGTTCGTAATTAGATAGTGTTTGAAAAAAACTTCTAGAAACAATTTACTAACTTTTTTTTTTTTGCTTATAATATATTTTTAAATGCTTGCAAAATCAACAATTGAATAAAGCTTATTCAAAAAGAAGAAGTTAGTAATTAGATGAGGTTTACATAAGTTTTTAATAACAACTTATCAACTCTTTTTTTTTTTCATAATCTGTTTTTAAATATTTGCAAAATCAATAATTGAATAAATATTAAAAAAAATTAAAAAAAAAAAATAAGTTGATATAATTCTACTAGGGTTTAAAGGCATATTCTATTCCTTTCGAGAAAGACATTTCAACTGAAAATTCAAATTAGCGCCTGAAAAATTGACTGCCTTAAACAATAAACCCCCAACTTAGCACGATAACCACAGAATAATTAACATGAATTGCTACTTAGGATGAGGAAGCCATTACAGCTAAGTATTTAAATATTATATTTATACTAAATTACTAATCACTAATGTGAATATTACAATAATATAAATTTTCCAAGGCATAAATATGTTTTCCTTGATATAATATTATAAATAAAGTTGTATATGTGATATTTATAGCTAAACACATTTTCTAGTGTAATAATAATTAGGAGCCTTTTTAGTAACTGAAAAGTATATTTGATGGAAGCACAGTATTAAATATTTGATTTCTTCATTTGGAATGAGAATATAATTGTGTGGTAACCAGCTCACTCAAGAAGTATTATAAACATAGTAGTATATTAGATGATAGAGTTGGTAGCTATCTCTGTCATAAGTGTTTGTTATGATTAGGGGATCAGAATTGTATGAAAAATTGGATTTATGGAGATTCCAATCAGATAATTTCAGGTTTTAGAATAATATTTCTCAGTCCAAATTCAGAAATTCCCATTCTCTATTTTATTTTTCGAATTTAATAACGAGATTTTGATTTTTGATCCAATTTTAATTTTAATAATTCCGGTTTTTTTTTTTTTTTTTGGTTCTTGAAAGTTAAGTTTATAATATTGAGGTATTACTATGTACTTTGTATTATAATTTGATTAAAAAAGTGGAATTTATGAATATTTTATTTCTGATGTTTTTGGAATGGAATTGACCTGATGAAGACCTTCCAATACTCAAATTAGCAACAATTGATGGGCTAACTAACTAATAAGCCAAAAAAGTTACAAGGACAATAACAATTAATCGAATCGTTTTGATCTAAATATTTTGAATGTATTATATTACCATTTATAAATTTTTGAAAAGTAGTTGTGGATCTGTTGGAATTTTATGGACTTTAAGATTAAATTTTTAAATCGTAAGCACAATAATAACTTTAATGAACGACCCATCATGAAATGGACGAATTTCTTCTAGTGGATCGGCCCATTGGGTTGTCTAGTTAAACCGCAATGGATCCATTAAAAATATTGACTAAAACTAAAATCGGTTTAATTTAAAAAAAAAAATAGTAAGAAAAGAAAATGTATTAAAAGCAGTTACGGGGGAAGATAGGTGTTGAAAAAACTGGTTCAATCTTTAACAACTCCATTTGCTTAAGTAAAAGAAACGAAAATGCTCGGCACGATCACTTCTGCGGATTCTCCATTTTCCTTTCTCTGCAACTTCCGCGAAGCTAACAAACAACCTCTGAATTTTAATGGCAATTAATATTATTATTATTAATTATTATTATAATAATGCCGGCGCCTAACAGAATCCTCCGTCTGAACTGTACTTTGGCTGGCATCCTTTCTCACCTTCGACTCTTTCTTACGCGAAATTTCCCTCCTTCACACATACACTGTGTGTGTATATCTATATATCACCCAATTTCTATCTCAATATTCTTCATCAATAACATCATCGGATTCTATCTATAGTAGAATTGAATTGATCCGATAAATTAATTAATCATGGGTAATGGAAAAGTAAAGGACAACGACGTCGTTTTCGAGGATTATTTTCCGGCGATGGTGGAGAAATTGGGCGCCGATGGGTTCATTCACGAGCTGTGTAAAGGTTTTCGTCTGCTGATGGATTCCGAAAAGGGATTAATCACATTAGACAGCTTGAAGAAGAATTCCGCCGTCTTGGGGTTGAACGACGACGAGCAGCTCCGGTGCATGTTGACGGAAGGAGATTTGGACGGCGACGGTTGCCTCAATCAGATGGAGTTTTGTGTTCTCATGTTCAGATTAAGCCCTGATCTCATGAACACAGCTGCTCATCTCCTTTAATCTATAATTAATTCATTCTTCATATATATATATATATATATATATATATATATATATATATATATATATATATATATATGATTAACGTTTTTGTTCTTATATTCGTAAATTGAGCTCGTGTTCGAGCTTTTGTTGACTCGTGAGCTGGTTTAGCTCGTTTATGTAAATTATGTAGTAAAATGACATTTATACCCCTGTTCATTCATATAAAAGTTCAAAAACATTCAAATAGCTATTCAAAACAGTAAAAAAATCATAAAATTGAAAAAAAAAAAAAGAAAAAAAAAATAACTAAATAAAAACAAACTAATTCTAAACTAGCCACCTAACCTAAAAAAGCATCAACTCTCTTGTTTGCCGAGGCAGACAAAAACTTCATGCAAATCGGAGCTTGTACCCCGGACAATGCCAACACAGCCGCCGGAATTCCCCACAAAGAGTCGCCGCATATCAGGCCCGAAGCGACCGCCGGAGCAAACTCCTTGGCGCCATTCCTGTTCTTCATCTCCCAAATGAACAAGATCAAGCTCCCAATACACATATCGACCGCAAAATACGCTCCGAGGTAAAACGGAATCGCCATGCACATAGGGCTCGGCACAAACCTGTAAACCCTGTACTTAGTCTCGTACCTCTTCAAAAGCTCCGTCGCAATATTAATAACCACCGCCCCGATGAAAAACACAATCACGAGCGTCATGCAGTTCTTGGGAAGCGTGGAGAAACCCTCGACTCCCAAGAGGGCAATCCCACGGTACATCAATGCGTAGGGTGCAGGGTAAGAACCCGTTGGGTCACCCACACTGTACGCTTTGTAGAAGATCCAAAACACCAAAGGCGACATGAAGCACCCTAAAGCGGTACCTAGTACTTGTCCGACAAACATCGACCTAGGAGAAGATAGGGTTAGATACCCTGTCTTGAAATCCTGCATCAAATCGGAAGCCGTTGAGACAATGCTCATCATCACACCGCACGAGGCGAGTCCAGCGAGGACCCCACCTTGATCCATACCGACCCACGAGCTGAAAACGAGGATTGCTATTTTGCCGTAGTTTGAGGCTAAAGACCAATCGGTTAGCCCGCATCCATATGCATTGCAGAAGGCAAGAATCGGAGCGATTATGTAGGCTACTAATATTTGGTACCATTTCAATTGATGGAATATCAACGGGATTACAATGATAGATACAACCGCCAGCAAAACGTAACCGCCCATAGCAACTTTGTTTGGAATTTGGTCTTTCAAGAAAAACTCCGTTCGCTTCCTCTCGTCATAGTCCGTTATCTGGTCAACGCCCGTCCCCTCGTTTGCAGATTCCTTGTGCTGCAAGAAACTCCTTGCTGTCACTGCCAGCATGTAGACCACGTGGTATAGGCCGTCACCGAGCATCATTGCAATAGCAAGAAAAACCTATCCATATAAGTACAAAGTTATTCAAGAGTCACCTAATTAAGTAAAAAAAAAAGTTTGTTTATTTCTATGTATGTATGTTATAAGAAGTAGGGTTGATTTGATTTACGTACCCGATAACCTTGGATACCGTGAAGACTGCTTGCCGGTAGTTCAGCGCTGTACCAATCGCCTTTCTTGGACTCGATTATGGGCCATAGTATACCCCACGATAAGATAGCTCCGATAAGTAGGGAAACATTAACCATGTAAGGGCATATCATACCTACACCGACGTAAGTGGCCGAAAAATCGAAGTAGAATCGCTTGTTGAAAGCTCCGAGTCCGAATGTCGGGAAGCTGCTAAAGCCACATCCATCTGCAGCATTGAAGAACCATTGGAAGCACGCCCAAAGGAAGCTACCCACAAAGGATTTGAATAGTACCCAAACTTTTTTCCTATGCGCAAAAAATTAGGGTTATAAAAAAAAAAAAATAATAATAATAATAATAATTAATCAAGAAGATGAAGATTAGGTAAAGTATATACATACTTGGCTACTTTAGCTCCTTTGGGAGTATGGAAGCTGTTGATAAGGTATGCTGTTGCGGTTCCGCTTGGATATGTTAGTTTGTATTTCAAGATCATCACCTGGAAATTAATTAATTCAATTAATTAGTTAGTTTTTAGATCCAATTTTTTTTTAAAATAAATTAATTAATGGAACTAAATTAAACCCTAGAATTGAAAAATGAAACAAACCTTTCTAAGGGGGACTATTGAGAAAAGACCGAGGAAGCTGACGGTGAAAAGATACGCCATCATCCATCCAATAGAGAGTTGCTTGATGTTCATCGGGTTATTTCCGGTGTCGGCCTGAGCGGCGGTGATCGGGCTCATTCCGAGGAGGTAACTGGCGGTGCCGCTGCTGAAGGCGATGCCGGAGGAGGCAACAACACACGTCTGAATAACGGTGTTCTCCTGTCTTGTGAAAGGCTGTTTTAGGTAGCCGGCCTTTTCCATCAGAACCGTCCAGCCTTTAACCATGGCGAAGCCGAGAAGTCCGGCGGCCACGTTTAGGGAGGGGATGACTCCGGTGGAGAGATTCAGTTTGCAGACGATGACGTTGAAGACGGCGCTCAGTATAACGCTGACCACGACTGACCTGATTGTGATCTGGTTCCTCCACGACGGCACCGCCATCTCCTCGAACTCCTTCTCCAACGACACCGGATCGGCGGCGCCGCCGCCGCTGTCGACGAGTGCCGCGTCGTCGTGCTTATCTTCTGTCGCCATTGCGTGTGTGTATTTTGAAGAGCTGTATATATGTGTATGTGTGTGTGATGCCCTATATATAGGGGTGAAAACAAGAGAATTTTGACGAGAAGGAGAAACAAGTTGTGTAGAAGAAGGATTGGGATTAGTGTTTACAGTAGAGAGAGAGAGAGAGAAGGAGGAGAGAGAAAGTTGAGTTGAGGTGAGAGACGTTTGTTTGGAGAATATTAAAGAATCCCGATGCATGAGGAGTTTCTGTTCGTCCCGAATTCCGTTTTTTTATTATTTATTTTTTTATTTATTATAGTAATTATTTTCACATGTTTGGGCCAGGATAATTTTTAGTTTATTTGATTTTACAAAAAAAAAGGGCCGGTGTATACTTCTTTGGGCTTTCTTGTACACACTAATCAAAGGATCCTATATTTTTTAAATCACACTAAAAATTACACAGGATTATTTAAAAAAACTACATTATCTTTCAAAATAAAAATAAAAAAATAATCTTTTATCACTAAATTATTCGATTGTGGATCTTTTATGTCACTGTTTGTAAAATATTAGGTGAATATATTTGGAAGAAAAAATAATTTTCAGATAACTTGATAACGTAATAGTTGAATGATTTTTTTTCGTAAAATATTTTATTTTGATAAAACAATATATTTTTTAAATATGTTGATGGAATGTATTTTTATTTTTGAACTTTATAGTTTCAAAATGATTGATAAATAAAAAAAATATTTGACATTTGGCATCCTAAAAAAATATCATAACTTTATAATACATTAATTTATTTATTTAAAAATGATGCTGATCTGCAAACTTATGCCTGGATTCTCTAAATCTTGAAAAATCACAGTAAATATAGAAAAGAAAAAAAATAGTTTAGTTTAGTATTAGTGCTAGTGTTACGATTAAAATTAAAATTGTGTTTAGTATTAAGATTAATATTATTGTTAATATTTGGATTCTGGTTAAAATTATGATTATAATTATAATAAGAATAAATATTAGCTAGCATTAACATTAAAGTAGAATTATGATTATCATTATTAGTACTCGTACAGTCGTACTAGTATCAATGTTAAATATTAATATTAATATTAGCATTAGTATTTGTATTTATATTTGTATCTGTATCAGTAATAGATTTTTAATAGGAGTAATGGCAAATAGGCCCATGACAAGGGCACTTAATTAAAAGAGGGACATCCAACTTTTTTGTCTTTCAAATAAATTCAACCCATTCAAACTTATTTACAAATAAGGAAAATCCTTTTATATATACCAAAATTACCTCCAATTCATTGAAACTCAATTTAACTCCAATTTCATGATTTACACCCCAATTTCATCAATTAACCAATTTTAACCTTAATTTCAATTTTGACCCCACTTTTGACCCGCCACCACCAGAGACCGCCGGTCGCCGCCGTTGACCGGCGTTGATTTTTTTTTTTCCTGAATTTTTTTTCCGCCCGGTCAACTGCCGTTAACCGCCGGGTCTACGGCGTTGACTTTTTTTTTTTTTAATTATAATTTTATTTTTTCTTAAAAAAAATATTTTAATTAATATTACTGTCTTGGCTGCTAAATTACTGTCTCCGGCAGTTATTTAACTGTCGGAGGCAGTAATTTAACTGTTAATTGACTCTTTTGTTTGTTTTTTTTTTCAAAAATATTTTAATTAATATTACGGTATTCGTTGCTAAATTACTGTCTCCAGCAGTTATTTAACTGTCGGAGACAGTAATTTAACTGTTAATTAACTTTTTTATTCTTAAAAAAAATATTTTTAATTAATATTACTGTATTCGTTGTTAAATTACTGTCTCCGGCAGTTATTTAACTGTCGGAGACAGTAATTTAACTGTTAATTGACTTTTTTCTTTTTCCTTAAAAAAAATTATTTTAATTAATATTACTATCTTGGATGTTAAACTACTTTCTCCAACAATAATTTAACTGTCTTAGACAATAATATTAATAATATTACTGTTCGGAAAAATAATATTCATAATATTACTGTCCCAAATAGTAATATTAATTAAAATATTTTTTTTCTAAGAAAAACAATTAAAAGAAAAAAAAATCAACGCCGGAGACCGGCGGTCAACGGTGGTTGACCGGCCGGAAAAAAAATTCAGGAAAAAAAAAAAAGTCAACGCCGGAATCTGGCCGGAAAAAAAATATTTCAGAAAAAAAATTATTTTCTGAAAAAAAAAGTTTTGGGGGTTAATGTGATATATTTGTTTAAATTCGGGGTCAATGTGTAATATTAAGAAAGTTAGGGTATAATGGGTGGAATTGATAAGAATTATATTATTGAGAGTATTTTAGACTAAAGACATGGGGATGGGCTTAATTGAGAAACTGCTTTTTTTTTTACCAAAATGCATTTAAGTCCCATGTGATAGGCCTTTTTGCCATCTGAAATGCTATTCATAGAACAACTTTTACCGGCTTGCAGTGCGACTTTATTTCATTAGTAATTTTCCAAGAAAAAAACCACATTTCTCTCAAACCCTTTTCCAACCGTGTTTCGTGCATGAGTATTTCGTATTCCCTAACACGAAATGGATAGAAGCATTTCGTGTAAATTAAAGAAGCACGAAATAGTGTTTTTTTACGATGTACGAAACCATAGTATTTTATTTTTTTATGTATTTCGTGTAAATTTACACGAAATACAAGCTTGAATTTCGTGTAAATTAACGTGAAACAACTAATTTTTTTTTTTATTTCATTTTTAACACTCAAATAAATACAAGAGAATAACAACAAACTTAAAATGAAATTCAAATACTAAGTAGACTGAAAGGGGCAATTTTTTTTTGGGGTTGTTTTGTTTTGAAGTTTTTAAAATGGGGTTATTTTTGAAGTAGTAATTAAATTGGTGTTGGCCGCCACCGGGAACGGCGGCATCGGACGGAGACGCCACCGCCGGTGGCGGCACCGGGAGGAGACGCCGCCACCAGTGGCGTCTTCTATTTTTTAAATTATTATTTTAATAATTTAATATTTTAATATTTTAATATATTTTAATATTTTAATATTTTTTAATATTTTAATATTTTCTTATTTTTTAATATTTTTATTATTTTTTAATATTTTAATATTTTCTGATTTTTAATTTTTTTTTACAAATAAAACAATTCTAACTACATTTTATTAAATTTATTACATTTTATCAATTAGATTTATTACATTTTATCAATTAGTGTTAAATTAATCAGTGCATATATTTATCTAATTAACACAAAAAAATATGTAGACAAAAACAAAAGGAGTTTCTAGAAAATAAAAGAGTTATATAAAATAAATAGGTCCAATAAAAGAGTTATATAAAATAAATAGGTCCAAATTGAGTAAAAAGACAAAATGAGTACAAGAAAATAAAATTGGCACTATGAAGTCAGTGCCTATGTGAACCAGTGCCACATGCAGGTGCCTGTCTAGTCCTACGCGGCCTACCATCTCGATGAATGTCAGGATCTGCTGGTACATCATCAACAAACTGGGTGTCATCCGGTGGATATGGAACAAGGGAAACATTATACTGTGGTCGGATCCGCTCTTGGGGACTTGAGTATCCCAAATTGAGCTCCAAATGTGGACCCCATGAAGAGAACTGAGTATCAATAGCAGGAGGATGTGGGGTAGCTAGAGAATCGGACCATGGCATATCTGGAACGTAATCATTCGTAGATAGACCAACTAAATCTGTAAATATGGGTACCTGAGATGTAGACGCACCGAACATATCCATAAATCCCTGTGTAGTAGATAAATCGTCCATACCTCCATGCACAGGAACATCTGCATAAAATGGTGTATGGGAAGCAAATGGACCGGCAACATCTCCAGATGGAGGTACCCGAGATGCAGATGCATAATAATTCCCCTCTCTTGTCTGTCTCACGTCATCCTCAGTAGCTCTTTCGGTAGCGTTGGACCTTCTTCTGGAATTTATTTTATATAACTCTTTTATTTTCTAGAAACTCCTTTTGTTTTTGTCTACATATTTTTTTGTGTTGATTAGATAAATATATGCACTGATTAATTTAACACTAATTGATAAAATGTAGCGTTGTCCTGATACAGATCATATATCCGATCGTCATCTCGAGAAACTGCCCTAGCAGCAAGACTCATGGATATAAGTTGATTACACTGAAATAAAAGGCATTACAAGTTTAAGAACTTAAAAAACTGAAAATAACAATGAAAACATCGAAAGTAATGGTTGTTTTGAGAAAAATACTAACCATAATATCCAGTAAAATCGGGTCTCCGACCTGAAAACCGATATCATCAAGATTGTCAATCGCTGATATCAAACGACGTGTGTGCCTCTCATACCACTCGGAGTATCCTGGATCTGTCTGAGGCCCACTAAACTCAATAAAGTGGACAGTCAACGAGGAGAATCAAGTCGGCTATGCCATCTATCAACATAGATACTGGTGAAAACGAGCCCA